ACAACCCTGATGCACACCTTTCCTGATTTTAAAACACTCAGCATCCACTTGTTCTGTTCAAATGACTGCCTTTTTGGTCTATGTACAGGTTCCACATGAGCACAATTACAAGTTCTAGAATTCACATTCTTTGTAATGTTATCCATAATTTGTTATGATCCACACAGTTGAATGCCTTTGCATAGTCAATAAAACACAGGTAAATATCTTTCTGGTATTCTCTGCTTTCAGCCAAGATCCATCTGACATCAGCAATGATTTCCCTCATTCCATGACCTTTTCTGAATCTGGCTTGAATTTCTGGCAGTTCCCTGTCGATGCACTGTTGCAACCACTTTTGAATGATCTTCAGCAAAATTTAACTTGTGTGTGATATTAATGATATTGTTCGATAATGTCTGCATTCTTTTGGATCACATTTCTTTGGAATGGGTATAAATATGGATCTCTTCCTGTCGGTTTTCCAGGTAGCTGTCCTCCAGATTTATTGGCATAGATGAGTGAGCACTTCCAGTGCTGCATCCATTTGTTGAAACATCTCAGTTGGTATTCCATCAGTTCCTGGAGCCTTGTTTTTCACCGATGCCTTTGGTGCAGCTTAGACTTTTCCCTTCAGTGCCATCCGTTCTTGATCATATGCTACCTCCTGAAATGGATAAATGTCCACCAATTCTATTTGGTACAGTGACTCAGTGTATTCCTGCTATCTTCCTTTGATTATTCCTATGTTGTTTGATCTTTTCCCCATAGAATCCTTCAGTATTGCAACTTGAGGCTTGGATTTTCTCTTCAGTTCTTTCAGCTTGAGAAATGCTGAGCATGTTCTTCCCTTTTGGTTTTCTAACTCTAGGTCTTTGCATGTTTCATTATAATACTTTACTTTGTCTTGAGCCAGCCTTTGAAATATTCTGTTCATCTCTTTTACTTCATGATTTCTTCTTTCGCTTTAGCTAGTCTATGAAGGAAGGTGTATATATACACATACATACATACGTATATAATAAAGAAAGAAAAAAAAACAGTTGCTGTCAAGTTGACCCCGACTCATGATGACCGATGTGTGTCAGAGTAGAACTGTGCTTCGTAGGGTTTTCAGTGGCTGATTTTTCAAAAGTATATTTCCAGGCCTTTCTTCTGAGGCACCTCTGGGTAAACTCGAACCTCCATCCTTTTGTTTAGCAGCTGAGTGCATTAACCATTTGAACCCACTCATATATTGTACCCCATCCATGAGAAGGGGGTAGCTGTTATTGTTTACTTGAAATATTCTATATTTGAATTTTATCATCACTTATTACAGTCATAATTTAGAAAACTTAGAAAGAGATTTCCTTTTAAAGCACTTGATAAACAAACCAAGCATTTCTTCTTTGATAACTATTTCTTTAATTTGCTGTTGTTTCTTTAGCCCTAGTTCACATTCTGAATGTATCACCAAGTCTGAGATTTATTTTTTTTCTTTTAACTCATGATTAAACAGCCATGTAGTATAAATATTTGTGAATGGGGTTCATGTTGGGAAAAAAACAACATACTTAGCAGCACAAAGGTAATCTGACACATCACATTTAATTATTGCATTTACTTTGAGAACAGAGACTGGACTGTATGTATTTTTATATCGCAAACCCTACAGAGCATCTGCATCTTGAGGACCCTCAGGAAATATATCCTGAAAGAATTAGTAATTCTGAAGCTTCATTGGCATGATTTTGATTACTCTTCTGTTTACTTTGTCAAACCAAGTTTTCTGGGCAGGCTGAGGGAGGAGTTGGAGAGAGCTAGATGCAGTGAAAATCCCTCTGAGGGAAGAACAAGGTGCCTTTCTGTTTAAGGCGGACAAGAGATGTCAGAGAGCAAAGGAATGGGCTAGGGAGTAAGGAAGGAAAAGGATGATTTGTGGGGGTAGCTGCTGCCCCTCTCTCCCCTCTGCCACCAGCTTCCTGCGGAAGCCTCAAGCTGGCTTCCTGCGAGGGTCAAATGTTCTCTCTTCAGTGAAGGCAGGCACCCCTCCTGCAAGAGGAGACTCAGCACCTCAGAACAATCCAGTGCCTGCCCATGTGGCACTTCTACTCCTATAGGACTCTAGTTCAACTCCACACCCCCACACAAAGGGAAAGGCACAGCCACCTGGGCCTCTTGAGGTCAGGGTTGTGGATACCGGGAGAGCCTGGCTTGCAAGGTGAGGTAATTTATACAATGTAAGGGATTCATGAAGGTACAGTGCAGTCCATCTACCTTAGTTACCAAATAGATTCCCTTTGCTTCATCCTCCTGTGGAAGTAGTCAAGGCAGGGAAGTTGGTCGAGGTGACCTTCCAGAGCTGAATCTGTGCTTCTTAAAATAAAAGCATCCTAAGAGAATTGAGAAGGGGAGGGGAGGCTGTGGATGTTGAGGGCAAAAACCTGACTCCGCGGAGCATTGTTGGTATGAAACTGTATTAGTTAGACACAGGCACTCAGCTCAATAACCTCAGGTATCTCTCAGAAATTGAAACGAAATGAACTGGCTCTTTTACTCCTTTCTGGTTATACTCTCCCTGGGCTAAAAAGGAGAATGAAAATGTGTCTTCTAACCTGTTTGAATGGCTGCAAACTGCCTGAGGAGATGTCTTCCTCTGCAGAGGGAACTCAGAGCTCCTAAGAGCCCTGGTGGCACAGTGGTTAAGCACTTGACTGCTAACTGAAAGGTCCGTGGTTCAAACCCACCAGCTACCCCTCAGCAGAAAGATGTGGCAGTCTGCTTCAGTAAAGAGTTATAGCCTTTGAAACTGTATGGGGCAGTTCTGCTCTGTCCTGTAGGGTCACTATGAGTTGGCATCCACTTGATGGCAACGGGTTTGGGTTTTTTTTTTGGTTTTAGGGACACACCAAGGGAAGGCAAGAGCTGCGACAAACTGGGAGCCCCAGGGGGCAGGCAGCAGGGGTGCCTACAGGTCTGGGTCTTCTCTGCTCTCCTTATGAGACTGGCTGCGTGGTGACAGTTTGGGGGCTCTATCCATGGCTGGGTGTGGCCAGGCGAATGTCCAGGTGTGTCAGGTCTGTGTATGTGTGGGAGCCCATGGTTCCTGCTCTCAGGCTTGTGGAGGGGCTTTCTACAGAGCTATGTGAGGGGCTAGGTGATTCCAGGTCCGGTGGAGCCAGGTGCTGGTCTGCACAGGTGGTGTGTGACCAGGTTGTGTGCAGTGCTTTGAGGGCGAGAGGGTGTTGCGAAGTGCTCAGTGTGTAGTGGGGGGAGGTATACAGGAATGTGCAGAGGTATTGTGGGAAACTTGGAGGGACTTGTAGGTGTCAAAATAATCAAAGCACAAAAAGAATTAAAGCATATAGGGCTTATTCGAGCAGTGAATTTGTATGCCCACAAGGAGACCTCTCTGTTCAAAAGAGACAGGAAGGCTCGTCTTATGCTAGTTACAATGAGTTGTTAAGGAGAAAAGGGAAATATAGAATAGAAAATTAACCCTTGGCTAACCTTTGGCATGATTGAATCATGTTCCCTCCCTGAGGTCAGCTGATATCAGGCAACAAGGTGGACTGGCCAGCCCCCCGCGCATTTGCACAAATTCGCATGTGTCCTCCAGAAGCTTTAAGTAATAAACCAGAGCCACTGCCCTCAAGTCGATTCTAACTCATAGTGACCCTGTAGAGTTTCCAAGGCTGTAAATCTCTATGGAAGCAGACTGCCACATCTTTCTCCCGTGGAGCTGCTGGTGGTTTCGAACTGCCAACCTTTCGATTAGCAGTTGATCGCTTTAACCACTGAGCTACCAGGGCTCCCAACTAATAAAGGCATCTCAATTACACAAGAAATGTTAAGGTCTTAAAATTATCTTTCAGGAAACAAGGAAGGGAACTATATTACTTTGAGTAAAGTTAAATTCTTTGCACAAGTTTATGTTTAACAGATGTCACAAAGGGGGATTTGTGTGATTTTATGGTCGCCGTGTCTCTATTGTGTCTCCTCTATTTCTATTTCTCTGTTCTTGGGTATATTCCACAATGGTAAGTAACTTTTGTGAATTTTCCTGTGCCCTCAGAGGACTCTGTCAACCTGGTCCTCGATTTCTCTCTTTAACAAGGGTCATTTGTGGGGCTGTGTAGGGAGGGTGTATACGGAGGGTGACTATTTGGAGGACAGTGTAAGGTCCAGTAGGGGACTTTGTGGGCCTGCATGAAACTGTGTGAGAAATTGTGGTGGAGGCTAAGTAGAAAACTGTGTGTGAGGGGGAGGGTCTCTGTGAGGGGATGTGTGTGAGACTTTAGTGTTAGGTCAAACTTCTAGGGTTGTAAGGATTAACATGGTGACCCCATGTGTTAAGAGTAGAACTGCTCCATTTGGTTTTCTGGACTGTATTCTTGACAGAAGCAGTTTGCCAGGCTTTTCTTCCACAGAGTCACTGGGTGGGTTCAAACCACCAACTTTTAGGTTAGCAGCCAATCACAAATTGCTTGCGCCACCCAGGCTCCTCATGTGTGGGAGTTTGTGTGGGCCTTTGTGACAGGCTGGGCACCACACAGGGCTGTGGGGGGGTGGGGCTGTGTGAGAGCATGGGTGTGCAGTACTGGGGGGCACCTTTGTGTAGCTTTGTCCTGGGGGCTGGCTGTGAGTTGTGTGCAGGGATGTAAGTGGAGGGCTTGGTGGGGGGTTGTTAAGGCTGTGGGGGCGGGGGTGACCTCTGTATTGGGATTGTGATCTGGGCTAAGTGCATCGGTGTGACGTTGTGCAGGGCTGAGTGCGGCTGGATAAATGGTGGCAGTGGCCCAGGACTGCCCCTACAGCTTTGCCATCTGAAGATGGGCTGTGCTTCCTTAGGGTTCGGAGCTCTCCAAATGCAGGGATTTATTCTTTCTGTGTGACTGACATGAAGCAAAGAGACTCCAGGGATTCATGAGGTGAACGAAAAGAGCAATGTGGTCCTTCCAGTGCTGCTTTGTGGCTGATCCTTATGCACATCGTACTGAAGACACTTTCTAACGCTTCAGTTTGTGCTTTCTCAACAGGACAATGTGGATCTTGGAGAGCTGATGTTTTCCCTCTGCTATCTTCCAACTGCTGGCAGGTTGACCATTACTATCATAAAAGCAAGGAATTTAAAGGCAATGGACATAACAGGAGCATCAGGTGAGACATTCTCAAATTCAGCCTTCCATGTATGATTCTAAACTTTATGAAGTTTTTAGTATAGTAGTAAAGCACTTGGACTCTGGAACCAAATCTCCTGGATATTAATCCCAGTCCTACCACCTAATACTTGTGTGCCTTTGGGCAAATCACTTAACCTCTCTGAGCTTCTGATTCCCCATCTGTAAAATGAGAATAATAATAGCATCTGGCTCATTGGGTTGTTGTAATATTAGTAAAACCTTAATAACAGTGTCTGGTAATACTAAATGCTATGTAATGTTGGCTATCATTGTTATTATTATTATTATTCTCTCATAGGTCTTCTCCTTCACCATAATTGTGACTAGACCTACAGTTTTGCACATGCTGATATAGCTTATCTAATTGGTTCTTTCCTCAGATATAAGCGGTCACCCTCTCAGTCTTACTGAAGTTTGAAGACAGTCTTATCTCCTTATGAGAGGCCTATCAGTGAATTATGCAGTTTTGTTTTCAGATGCATGTACATTTAAATTCTAAGCCGTAACAAAAGTGTGCTCCCTCCCTCAACAGGAAATGCCCCAATATGCAGTTACATCTATACAAGCCACCTCTGCAGGAGTTCCCCAAATGTGGTCACAGAACACGCAGTACAGTGGCTCACAATTATTGAAATCAAAGACATCAGATGAAGTGTGTTCTGTTTCCCACCCTCCAGTGTTTTTCCAAGCAGAAAAAAGATGTGGCCCCTTTGGTCCTCTAAGTCCCTCCTGGGCAATGGTGTAAGAGTCAGGGCAAGACATGGTTATGCAGGTGAAGAGAGAAGGAGAATTCCCCGCTGAGCAGGAGGATGGTGAGGACACCAGTGAGACTAGGAGAGCCCCGCCTGGAGCAGAGGCCAGCCTTGCCCCCATCACAGCCTTTCTCCATGAGCAAGCCTGTGTCCTTTCTCTTCTTGACATGCTGAACTGCTTTCTCTTTTGCAGCCTGACTGCTGGTAGCATTAGGGATTTGAGGCTACCTAATTTACCTCCAGATGTCTTTTGTGTTCTCTAGAAATTTGGCTTCCCCCTTTCCTAAAGTCCTGATCTATGAGAAAAGACTACCTGGGGTGGCTCAGAGCTGGGGCTCTGCAGCCTGTTTCCCCAAGGCCTTAGAAATGCCCTTCTATTTTCTTCCTGTCACAGCCAGGCAGGTCTTGAATTCTAGCTGGAATGTTTTCTGATTCGGCAACAGATGTTTTCATACTATTTTTAAATTTCACGCTTTTTGAGGAGACACTGTCCTGTGCTTTTTCTTTAATGAACGACTTAATTATTTTACTCTGGTCACTGCCCAGGTATCTTATTAATTAAAACCCTCCAACTCCAGTCCACAGACAGGTAAAGGAGCTCTGCGTATCGTGTTGCTGTTGTGTGTTGTTGAGTCAATTCTGTCTCACAGCGACCCTCTAGAACAGGATAGAACTGCCCCATAGGGTTTCCTAAGCTGCAATCTTTAGGGAAACAGACTGCCACATCTTTCTCCCAAGGAGCGGATGGTAGGTTCAAACCACCAACCTTGTGGTTAGCAGCTGGGCTCTTAACCACTGCGCCACCAGGATTCCTCTGTATATCATAGTCCAGGATAACTCATAATGACACAGCTACCAGACTAAATTTACGTTTATTCTCACAGTACCCCTGCTTCTCATGGTCTGTACAGATCCCTACGTGAAAGTCTCACTGATGTGTGATGGCAGACGGCTGAAGAAGAGGAAAACATCCACCAAGAGAAACACGCTGAATCCTGTTTACAATGAAGCCATAGTCTTTGATGTCCCTCCCGAGAACATTGACCAAATCCACTTGTCCATAGCGGTCATGGACTATGACCGGTGAGATTCCTGCAGCTCTTTCTTAGTGCAAGTCAGCTGTGCCCAGGGCGGGGAGGGCAGAGGGGTGTGCAGTCCATAGCTTCTTAGCTCGTGTCCCAGGCTGCAGGAAATGAGTCAAGTGAGCAACACGTGGAAAGCAGATTTACAAGAAGTCACCATTTTCCGAACCATGCTGCAGAGTCAGGCTTCCCAACTACCTCTCTGCTCTTCCCTTCTCTTCCTCCCCTTTCTTTCTTTCTTCTCCTCCATCACCCCCATCCCCACTTTTTCCCCTTTCACTCTCTCCATACCTCCTAGAGTCTCACCTTGGGCAACTGTGGCCCCAGAGGTCTTATCTTCCTCTCTCAGGCAACCATGCCTGCCCTTCTTTGGGAAGATTCCACTCAAAACAGCAGAATTGATTACCTTAGCCAGACTGTCAACATTTTTAAATACATAACTTCAATCTTTTTTTTTTCTTTCTCCCTAAGTGTTTAATAAAGATCATTTCCATCCACTTAAGTCTGAAAGCAAACACAGAAATGTTCTCTTGAAAATGCTAGAATCAGTGTGGATGACAGGGTACATTAAAATGTATAAGATGCTCAACTTTTTAATTAATACAGCACAGAAGAGATATTTATAGCCTTCATTGTAGCCAATTGTGTATTTAAAGGACAGATTTGAAAAACAGTCATTTTAATATGCAACAGAAGTACCAACGGGGAATTATACATGTTAAACCAGTCATTAAACTGAAATACAAAGTCTCTTTTTAATTGGAAACCTTCCACGTGGCCTGGGCACAAAAATAAAAAATCATTCTGACTTCTAATATAATCTCGCAAATACTATTTGTAGCTAAAAAATTTGCCCAAATACCTCCGAAACATTGTCATTAAGACAGCTTCAGTGCCCCAAACACTCTCTCCAGCAGATGTCTGGGTAAAACATGACTGTCTTCAAACCTAAGGAGCATTTGGGTTGGCTCAGTTGCGCATGGGTGTGACAACCCACGCTGGTCAGTAGACCTTGCCCTGTCTCTTTCGGGCAGCACACTACACCAATAGTGTCAGGCCACAGGAGGGGACATCGCCCACCAACTGTGGAAGGCTACGCCAGCATTTTTCAAGCTATTGCCAAGTTTCCCGCATTGACAAATCTGATTATGTGAGCTCTGCTTCGGTTTAACTCTCAGTAAACTCATGAATCTGGACTTGAAAAATCCCTGGCAAGATTCATGGGGCTTCTGCATGTAGCTGATTTTAATGAGCTAGGATGAAATATCCTTCACATTACCTCCCCAACACAAATTGAAGGAGAAAAAATCATTCATGTGTACAGGAAGGAAAAAAAAAGAAAGAAAGAAAGAAAGTGTGTAAGTTTGGTTTCCAAAGAGTTAAAGGATGGGCCATATCATGCCAGTTATGCAAAGGACTTTTAACCAAAAATTGACGATGAAAAAAATTGGCCCAAGAAAGGGATCTACTCAGGGAAAGTTTCAGAAATATTAGCCCTGAGGATAAAGGCTGTAAGCTGGGAAATCTTGTTGGGTTAAAGAAACTAAGATAGGCTTATTAGGAAGAAGGGAGAGACCGAGTCCACAACACTCTCTATAAAAAGAAGGGGAGCAAGAAGAGCCAGGTGCTCCCTCCACTCTGCCCCCTTTGTGAGCTTATGGTTACAGCTACCAGACACTGAGCTGCTTCCTTACCCACTTTTGGTTGCCTCTTGCGAGAACTTGAATATCCATTATTGCAAGAAACTCCTTTCAGATGGCCTCCTTTTTATTACATGGAGTTGGAGGCCCAGAGGTCAACCTACTTTCAGAAGCAGAGCATACTGAACCTTAGCATGCATCAAGGAGTCCTTTGAAGAAAGGGTGCTTGGGAACAGTGTTGCCAAAGCCAGGGTGTGTGAGAGCCAGACTCTGCTGTTTCTCTCTGGGCCACCAAGTACAATATCGGACCCCAAGTTCTATTGGCTTGGTTAAGCTTGGCCTTTAGTTTTAAGTTAGGGAATGAAAAGAACCACCCTCCCCCATTTCTCCATCAGTTTAACTGAGTAGTTGTTGCTCTTACATACCAAAATTTTAAGAAAAACCTATTGTGAACCATTTTCACAGTGTAGGTCACAATGAGATTATCGGCGTGTGTCAAGTAGGCAACGAGGCTGAGAGGCTGGGCAGAGACCATTGGAGTGAAATGTTGTCATATCCTCGGAAGCCCATCGCTCACTGGCATTCCTTGGTAGAGGTAAGACCCTAACCGCCCCCATGCTCTACTCTGAAGAAGAGTAAATGCTTTACTGTTGAAATCCAGGAGCCACTAGGAATGTGAGTGCTTTTGGATCTACAGTCATAGAAGGTTTTCCCTGGCTGCATTTCCTGGGGCCCTGGGGACTTCAACGTTTGATCTAAGGTTGAATCTTATGCTCACTGCCAGTCTGGTAGGTTTTGAGCATTGATCAAGGATCCATCCCTCACTTTGTCTTTTAAAATGTGTGCCAAGAGTCTCTGATTCCATGTTATGGCTTTGGAGGTCACCTGAAGATTCTGGGTGTGTGTTGAGAATCAAATAGTGACTTACACCTGATACTGGAAAGAACCCTGGATTGGGAGAAAGGAGACCTGAATTCTAGGACTGGCTCTGGCACTAACCTGTGATTCTGAGCAAGTTAATTAGGATTAGGTTCAACTACATGTGATTAAATTTAAAAACAAACCAACCAACCACATAATAACAACAAATGAAATGAAAATCTATTTCTCTCTTACATAAAAAAAGTCCAGAGAAAGACACTGAAGGGAGTTATAGTGGCTCCATGATCAGCAAGGACCTAGGCTTCTTCTCTTTCTGCTTCACTGCCCCAGCATAGCTTTCTTCCTTGAGGTTACCTCATAGTGCAGTATGGCTGCTGAGCTCCAGCTGTCACATGTGTTGCAGGCCAGAAAAAGGAAGAAAGGCAAGGACCAAAAGGAACATTTTTGTTTTTTTTTTAAAGAACTCTTCCCTGAAGTCTCATGCAACACTGCTACTTAGATTTCACTGCACAGAAGTTAGTCACATGGCCACGTCTAGTTGTAACAGAAGGTAGGAAAGGTACTTTTTGTTGGGTGGCAGTGTTCCCAACTAAAAACCAGAGTTCTGTTACCAAGGGAAAAATGGAGAGAGGGTAGTACCTAGAGACAATTGGCCATCTTTCCACCACTCACATCTTCACTCATTCACTCTTACTCGCCCATCATTTACTTCTTTATCGTCCTTCCCCATTCATCCTCTCTTATCGACTCACTCCCTTATTTATTTATGAACTTATTCTCTCAAAAATAAATTGCATTGACTAAGTAACATTCTGTAAGTTTCAAATGCCACATTAGGTGCAGAAAATACAGATATGAACAAGAAACCGTCCCTTTCCTTGAGCTTATGAACAGTAAGAGAAAGAGAAAATGGCGTGTAAACTAATTGTTAAAGGGTAGGGTCCTAAGTAGTATCATACATATAAAGTGCTACAGGAGCACAAAGGAGGGAGGTGTTGGTTGTGCTTAGAGGAGATTGTCCAGGCAGCATTTCTCCCTCCTACTCTCAGTAAACGAAGAGAACTGAGCTCCCGGGAACTGAAACGCCAGGATGCAGGAGGCAGCTGTATATAGAGGAAGCATGGATTCTAAGTGGAGATTCCTCCCCTTTTTCTCCCAGCACAGGCAACTCTGTTCCCTCCAAGTTCATTGTGAGAGGTCAAGACCAGGGCCTAGCCCTGTTAGGGTTCCTCTGCCATTGATAGCCAGGCAAAATCCATTATCGATTCCGACTCATGGCGACCCTATAGGACAGAGTAGAATGCCCCATAGGGTTTCCAAGGAGTGGCTGGTAGATTCAAACTGCAGACCTTTTGGTTAGCAGCCAAACGCTTAACCACTACACCACCAGGGTCTGGTGGAAATAAACATGCAGGGAAACTGTAGAGGAGAGAGGCCCTAAGCCCAGACCTGAGGATGGAGGGACAGTCCTCCTTTGTTGGAGATGGTTCCAGAGGGAAAAGGTTTATGGACTGATTCTTAGCACTTACCTGGCAGGGGAGATACCATGATTACGAAGGTGGTTTTCCCAGGGCGAGGCTTATCTGTTGTACTCTGGATGTGTGACCCCTGCAATTTCCCCAAATGTGGGAAACTTGACTGCACAAGAGAAAAAAAACAGAGCCCTGTTGGCGCAGTGGTTAAGAGCTACTGCTGCTAACCAAAATGTTGGCAGTTCAAATCTACCAGCCGCTCCTTGGAAACCCTGTGGGGAAGTTCTACTCTGCTGTGTAGGGTCACTGTGAGTCAGAATCGACTGGATGGCAGCGGGTTTGTTTCCTCCCGCCACCCCCCGTCCAAGCACCAGGGCCTCTGGGTGTATTGAAGGAGAGCCTAGGGCCCCCTAATTTGCAGGTCCATAAAGACATCTCTCCCCTGAGCATAGAACTAAGACAGTTTTGTTTTGTTTTGTTTTTTCCTGGACTCAAAATTAGTCCCTTAGGAGGATACATAGGACCTATGAACCACTGGAGAAATAGGTGGGGGCGGGTGGGGAGGGCGCATGGCTGGTGGAGAGGGGCGGAGGCTTACTCAATTGTGCCTCATTTCTTTGGCTCCTGGTGGAATTCTCAAAGGTGTCCATCCGAGGACTCATATTGTCTGGGCTGTAGCAGTGGCAGTTAGAGCAGTTGGAATAGACGTCTTGTACCCATATAAGTCATTGCTGACTTTAATTCTTATTCGTAATAGTGTCAGTGTTCTGTGCTACTCAACAGGAAATGGGAAAGGAGGACAGATTAGAGACGTGGTACGGGGGTGAGAGGTGAGCCCTGGTTCGGTGGACAAGCACCTTGGCAGGGAATAACCACGGTGGCGGGTTGTATATGGGCCTGAGCGACAGTGCTGACCGGTCTCAGGCAGAGGAAGGTGTTGAAAGCAGGCCTTGGAGGCTTCTGTCACTGCTGAGGAGGCAGTGCTGTAAGACTTTGGCCACCTGGGAGATACTCCTGAAACCCTGAGCACTTGGCTTTTTGTGAATCTGTGTTTGACAGCCAAGTCAGTGAGAAATAAATTTCTGTAGGGTTAAACCATTAAAATTTGGGAGTTCATTTGCTAAAGCAGCTAGAATTAACTTCTGCTGATAACAGTGGTCATTTCTCAACTGTTGGAGCAGAGCTCAGGAAGTGAAATGCCTGCGCCCCTGACGTGAGGGGCCAACCAAGGGAGGCTGTGCCTTTCTGTTGCTTTTTGTTTCTTTGAAGTTTATGCCCAGGACTCCAGTTCCATCCTGAGAGAGGAAGTGATTCTTTCCCTTTTAAAAATAAACTTTTAACTGGCAGAATTGGGGCAATGGTACCAGAGGAGATGAAGCACAGTCTTTTGGAGAGGTCAGTAGTGCTTTGCTTACAGCTGTAAGGATGGAGGAGGCAGTAGACAGAGCAGTTAGAAGCACTCACTTTGGAGTCGGATGGACCTAGATTCAAATCCCTGTACTGCCACGTACTTCTTGTTGTTGTATTTAGTTGCTTTTGAGTTGGCTCCGACTCATGGCAACCTTACGTAAAACAGAACGAAATGTCACCTGGTCCTTTGCCATCTTCATGATCTTCAATGTGTTTGAGCCCATTGTGGCCACTTACTAGTTGTTTGTTATTTCCTTTCTGAACCTTAGTTTCCTCATCTGTAAAGTGGCCCTGGTGACGCAACAGTTAAGGACTCGGCTGCTAATCAAGAGGTTGGCAGTTTGAACCGACCCAGTAGCTCTATGGGAGAAAGACCTGGGAGTCTGCTCCTGTAAAGATTACAGCCTAAAAAACCCTATGGGGCAGTTTTACTGTGTCACATGGGGTTGCTATATGAGTCAAAATTGATGGCATCTAACAACAACAATAACAAAAGTCGCCATAACGATGTCTGTCTTGCAAGGGTGGTTATCAGGATTAAAAGACAGCACAGTGGCTAGCACATAATAATTACTTAGTAAACTTCTCATATATGGTCACTGGTATGTATGTCCCATATTCTGAGGGACTGCTGTGTGTCCTCATAGAAATATTATCTATCATTTTTATCACGGAGGATAAAAGAAAGGTGGGGGACCCCTCTACTCTCCACTCCCCAGCCGGGAGCCATCACCTCAGCCTGAGGGAAGAGGTCATTCAGGACTTGATAAACTAGATGCACGCGTTTAAATTTTGTTCCTTTTCCTCTTTCTCTTGGCTTTAAAGGTAAGTTGCTGTTACACTCTCCAAGAACCTTTTAAATGTCTGTTTTAAAACAAAAAAGAACAATTATCCCAGTCCTCTCATAAATTGTGTGTGTGTGCCTATGTAAGCACATGTGTATGAATGAGGTGGGAGGAGATTAGGATTTAGGATGAAGGGAGGCTGGCAGAAGCGCTTCACTTTTGGGGACTGAGGGACCAGGTTGGGACTGAGCCCTGTACCCCACAGCAATCTGGCAGCCTGCTTGGGACTGCATCCACTTCACCCTGACCTTGCCAGGGCAGGTGGCAGATGGAGTCTTCAAAGCCAATGAGTTCAAAAATCTGTTCCTCTCTGAGGGATTCTGGACAGCTTCACTGCATACTCAAAGGTCAGCCAATACTGCTCCCTTTACTCTCCATGATGGTTAAAGATTTGTAAAGCTGTGTAAACTCCCACAGAGCAAGCTGCCTGGGACTTGGGACTTGGGGCATCCCCTCCATGGGGCCTCAGGGGATAGCAGAGCTCTCTATGGCTTCCCTACCACAGCATCCTGCTCGTATATCCAAGAGAAGATGCTGCTGGCCTGGCCATGTCCCAGCACCTTTCCACCCTTCTGGATGTGGAGCTGACATATATCATAAGCTTTGGAAGAAAAATAGGCAGTAGTTCCAGGTTTTTATCACTTCCCTGTGTAGTGCTGCGTGACCTCTGTATTAACAAAAAGTAAGCATGGTTTGATGGGAAAAACAGACACCATTTGATTAAATCAAACAGAGTTTAGTTTTCTAAAAGAGATAGAAGATAACCCAATGAGAATATATAGTAAAGATCAACATTATCCTGATTGAGAGAGGTACAGCATTTTAAGCCCCAAAGTCCTACTCAAGGAGTGTTAATTGTAGATAAGTCTTCCTCTCTCCAAGCTCAGCCTTTCATATATATATATATGTACATAAGGCTGGGAGTCCCTGGGTGGCACAAACAGTTAAGCACCGGACTACTAACTGAATGGTTGGCCATTTCAACCAAGCCAGAGGCA